TCCCAGCAGGGGACGCACTAGAGGCAACCATACATTGATGTTTCTCTCCACCTCTCCTTCCCCTCTAAAGGTAAATAAATATAAAAAAATACCTAGTAAAAGTACAGAAGGCTACCATATTATCTGGAAAATAGAAATTGTAGTAGTTATCTCTTGTAATATTATCTAACTATAATATAGCTATCTGTTATAATAGCTATCTTGTATTTTTTATATGAAATGCCATAGTACTTTTGTTTTCTAAATTAATTTAAATCTAATCCAGGGGCACCAATGCCCAAGCTGGTGAGTAGTAATGTAATGATCATCTTGATTTTGGTGGGGTTGGAAGGAGAGCAGCATTTATCTTATTACATTTGCACAAGAACGCACCAAAGCGCTTTCATCCTATAGATACCTTGAAAGTAAAGCTGGATTTTCCAGTCTTCCCTATATCATGGTCACAACTACAAAAAAATTGTCCACTTCCATGTGATCCATTAGAAAATAGGCTTTTCTTGCTATTTTAGTGCTTAGCTTGGGCATGGTTGTTGGAGATAACGTCAGATGGAGGTGGGGCTAAAAGCTTTGGCCAGTTGTCTAGCCTCCATGGCTGCACCTTGCAGCCGCCCCTTCTGAAGTCCTGTTCTTTCCCTAGGTTGCACACAGGAGCATAACGCTCACCATCTTGTACACACATTCTTCTAAAGTCTGAAGGAAACTTTTATTTTCACAGCTCTCTGCATTTTTGTCTATTCTCCCCAAATTTCCTTTTACTTTCCAAAGACTGGTCTCTCTCCTATCCCTATCTGAAATGAACTGGCTTAATCTTTTACATGAATTAGTTTTTTAGAAACAGGTGGAGAGATGAGGCTGTTGTTCAATAACTTCTGCTTTAACCCTTGCAACACCGACCAATACTCTTGAAGTAAGACAGCAAGAGCCTGAGGACAGCTAGATCAGGAGTGGAAACATAGAAATGAAGGTCTCAAGGAGGGTTAGCAACAGGGGAGTGGGAGGAGGAGATGGGGGGAGAAGATACAGAAAATAAGTAGCATAGACAGTAGATAGAAAATAGATGGGGGGGCAAGAATAGCATGGGAAATATAGAATCTAAAGGACTTGAGACACATGGTCATAAACTAAAGGGGGGTAATGGTGGAGATGGGGGGGTAGGGTGGAGGGGAATGAAAGGGGGAATAGAACAACTGTAACAGCATAATCAATAAAAAAATTTAAAAAAAAGACAGCAAAAGCCTGGATGAATCCTTGCTGAAAGGAAGAAATGTCCTGGGAGAAAAATACAAGAAATTATGTTTAATAATATTACCTTAAATATGTTTAAGGTAATATCTTTAACTTGGTGATTAAATGAAAATGCAAGTAGAATCAAATATAGCAGCTGACGGAGTAAGCTTTCAATCAGTGACATTTTTATTATTACTGTCAAATCATATTAATTAGTTATATTTCCATGTTTAGAACAGTTACTGAACTGGCTATTTCAATAATGATGTAATCAAAATGTCTCTATGCATTCAGGGAAATAAACAGTGTTTGTAGAAGATAGTACACGAAATCTAATATGAAATTACATTCCTTCATTTTGTAGATGAGAAATCATAATACATACAGACTTTCTTTCAATAGTAAGAAAGTTTATATTGTTCCCTTTAATGAGTATTAGTAAGCAATTCTATTCCTGTTTTTTTTGTTTTATAGTTTTAATGTTATCAAAAATAAACCAATGGATATCTATGCATTAATCCTATAGTGGCTTCTCATCTGAAATTATTTTTTAATAAACTATTAGTTGAATACTTTATTAGGTCTCCTTCAGTTTTATTCAAATAATTGAAAATCGTTTGGCCATCAAAAAGTGCCAAAACACCAAAATCATGATTGCCCTTTGGAGGGGTTCCCCCCTTCTTTCCAGAAGTCGTTACAATTTGGGGCAGTGCACATGGCAGCATGTAGGATGGGCGAAATGATGAGGTGCATGTATTTTTGTTTGCTAAAGTCCAAACTGGGTGATTTAGAAAGGGCAAATAAGGAAGGACTTAGTGCACACCAGTACCAGAAAAAAGGCTCATCATCAGGTAGTTGAATTTTAGGAAAGACCTGAAAAAAGCCTCATCATCGGGAAGGAAAGACTGAGGTCCGACAATTGATTCGCATGCCAGTGGGCCCTTGCAAAGGGCCCCAGGTAAAAGAAAACAGCACTATACCAATGGAATCTTTAGGGCTTCGAGTGCTTTTAGTTTAGTTTGAGCAGGCATTTTTTGGAGTTCTTATGGATTAATTTAAGACAATCATTTATCAATAGTATATATTTCTGCCATTCTGTTTTTCAAATTTATTGTGCTTATTAACTCCAAAGAGAAACTTGGAATCAAAATTGACCTCCATTTATTATCAAATGAAAAGGCGACAAGCAATTTCAGTCTTAATCGTTTGAGAAATAAGGGTCAAGAATCTATAAACTCCAAATTCTGACCGGAGCTTTCAGTCCTGCACCTCAGATCCTTTTTCTGATACTTGCTGAAAATGTCACTGGCTCTCTGAGTATCAAAACCAGTAAATGTGGAGAAAGATTTTATTGAATTCCTTTGCAATGTATTTTCTTTATTTTTACCTTTTCTAGTTTGAGAGCCATCACTGTTATTAATAACAAGTATAGAAGCTAAAAAGAAACCCTGATTTTTCCCTCCTTATATGTTTACCACTTGGTTTTTCCGGGCTAAAGCTTCCTTTTATTTTACTTCCTGCTATTAATATAGAATCTCACTGTAAACCAAATCTCAATGTAGAATTCTATAACTATAGAATTGAAATAACAACTTAAATACAAAGATACTCACTGCAGAATTATTTGAAAAATAAAAACCTGTAATATTTGAATGGGGATTTCTTAAATACATTATAGTCTATCTATACCACAAAAGACTAAGTAGCTAACTTAAAAAGTGATATAGAAATATAAATATTTGGAAGATGCTTAATAAATATAAAAACATATCACAGTACAATATGTACTATGTGATCCCATTGTTAGTAAATATTTTATACACACACATATTATAAATGCATAGATGAATTCTGGAGAGGTAAATTAGAATGGTGAACAGTATTACTGCTTAGGGGTAGGATTGGAAAGCTTGTTGGGAAAGGGTCTTTTTATTTCTACCTTTGATCTTACTGTATGAATAAATTTTTTGAATCACTATATATTTGTTGAATAATAAAATGTATTTTATTTTAACATAACAAAATAAATGAGAAAATTAGAGTAAGAAGCAAGCAAGGGAGAAAGTAAATTAAAGCTAAGGGTTAATGCACAAAAATACCTTGTTAAGCAGTTTGCTCCAGTTCAGGGTGTCAGACCCATTTTCACCGGGGCCACATCAGCCTCGAGGTTGCCTTCAAGGGGCCAAATGTAATTTTCGAGCTGTATAAATGTGACTACTCCTTAGGAGTTAAGCAAGAGCTCGGCGCTGCTGAGAGGTAAAAACAAGGTGGAGGGCCAGACTGGGCTGCGGGCCTTGTGTTTGCCACCTGCGCTCTAGTTGTCAGAGATGAGTTTTTGACAAAATTTGTGCTTTCATGTATCTGAAGAAAATAGGTAAAATTTATCAGTTTTAAGTATTATGTAACCTAATCCTTGTGCTGAGGCCTAAGATCAATTTCTACTATTCTTGTAAGCCAGGAAAGTGTGTAACAGGAAGGCAAATCAAATCAATTTGATCCCAAATCAACGATGTTTGCTTCTAGAGCACATCGATTTTTGAAAACTTTATTCATAACTAAATACTGCTTCCTGACATATTTGACCAGGGATGAATAGTGGAAGGGTTGTTACCTCTAAACCAAAACTGAACAAAATTAATTAAAAGCAAGTTATGCTCAGTTTTACTAGAGAAGCATACTTGTGACATTTGTCCTTAGGGAAGCAGGGAGGACTCTCAGTCCTGATAACTTCAGCATCTTCCCTAATTTACAGTCATGTTGAGCAACTCCATCCTCATTCCTGGAGCCAGTTGAATTAACCCCAGTTGGAGCACTGGAAAGCATTATTTGAAAATATTACTATTACCATTTACAGACATGTAAACCACCTAAGATTTCTTTTATGAAAACACTGTCCGTATTTTAAAAAAATTGCCTTGACAAAAACAGTTCTGGTTTGACTCATCATTTTGTTGCTTAAAGTGATGAGTGTACAAAGTGTCACCTGATGAACCAACACTGCACTGCAGATACACAGCCATGCACTGCATGGTTATATACTATCAGGACAGGAGGCTCTGTGTGTAGAAATGTTGCTTTGACGCAACACGAGGTACATGCAAAACACGCAAACTTCTGTAACTGTCTTTGGAAAAAAATAAAACAAGTTTTTGTGTTTCTTTTTAAAGTTACAGGATTTCATGCTATAAGCAATGAGAAAATCTGTGTGTCCCTGGTGAAATGCTATGATATAGTATAAACTTGGTTTTCACTCTGAAATGTAGGCCTCTCTGCCGCTACATCTGCTAACATTTTCTTTTATCAGTTTCAGACCAGCTTTTCTTTTTATCTGACCATGATGAAAAGCAACAGATAAATTATAGTAAATAAGTGCAAAATCAGTTTGTTAAGGTGAAATGTGTAGTGGTATATCAAAATGTTCTTGTTTATGTTGGGCCTTCTTTTTGAACTTAATATCTTAAAACATAGTAAATCAGCTATTTCCCCCACTCAATTTGAACTCCACACTATTCATTACTATGTGTGGTTCCTTGATGTAAGTTGTAATTTACTTAATTTTCTCCACCTCTTAGTCCCACTCTCTAATACGGTTTTTCCAGAGCTGATGGAAGACCTGAAGAAAAATGGAAGATTTCTTCAAAGCTCTGATTTTGTTTTAGTTTTTGCCAATATATGATGTGGAAAAATTTACTTAAGAACATTAGTACATTATGCTATAAATATAGAGTCTGTAAAGTTAAAACAGGTCCTGAGCACTTCCATTTTTTTTTTAGGTTCCTGTTTTAAAAAAGGAGAAAAAAGAAAGAGAAAGAGGACAAGGACAACACAAGAAACTTTGAAATGCATTAGAGACTATGGCATATTTTCAATATTTCTATTTATCAAGTCAATACTTTAATTTTAAAAATATGATGTCTGATTTAAAACTTCATTTGGAGAGAACATTAAAATATATACATTTGAAGCTCTGTGGGAATGTGAGCTATGGGCTCAAGGGCCCTCCTGCCCTTTCGGGCCAACTCTGGTCTTTTCCCACTTTTCCCATTTCTTTCCTCACCTTCACCCCTACTCTGGCCAGTCTCCCTCCCTTTCTCTCTCCCTCCCTTTCTTCCTTTGTTCTTTCCTTCCTTCCTTCCCTGGGATTTTCCCCCCTGTTAATGCTGTTTAATTGAGAGAAGTAAATCAAGAAAAATAACAACAGAGAATTTTTTTGATTGAGGATTATTTTATGTAGTGTACTCACTATAAAGCTAATGTATGACACATTATAGAACTTTAAGAAAATTATAAAGTAAGTTATAACATTGAAGAAAGTAACTTTAAAGCATCTTTTAAAATCTCCCTAATATGTCTTTCCAAATAGACTGCATGCATATTTTTAAATATTTTTTCTTTTTAAAGAAAATTTCCCACAGCTTTATCAAGGAATAGCTGGCAAATAAAAATTATATGTATTAAGAGCATACAATGTGATGTTTTGATATATATATATATATATATATATATATATATATATATAGTTAAATGATTGCATGAGTAAGTTAATTAACAATTCCATCACATCACATACTTAATTTTTTGGTTTGTGGTAAGAACATTAGAGATTTACAGTCTAAGCAACTTTTAAGTGTACAACACAATGTTATTAACTGTAGTCATCGTGGTACACTTTAGATCTGCAGAACGTATTCATCCTGCTTGGCTGAAAACTTGTGTCCCCTGGCCAGCATCTTCCCGTTACCCTTCTACCACCACACACAAACCTCTGCCACCCTGACATTCTATGATCTGCCTCCATGAGTTGGAATTCTTTAGATTTCACATAAATGAATAAGTGAGATCATGCAGTATTTGTCTTGCTGTGTCTTGCTTATTTTACTTAGCATAGTGCCCTGCAGGTTCATTCATATTCTCACAAATGACAGGATTTTTTATTTTTTAAGGATGAAATATTCCATTGCATGTATGTACACACACATATACAATATATAATATATATAACATTTTCTTTATCTTAGATGGACTTTTAGGATGATTCCATATCTTGGCTATTGTAACTAATGCTGCAATGAATATGGAAGTGTGGTATTTATTTCATATGTTGATTTCATGTCCTTTGGATATATACCCAGAAGTGGGATTGCTGGATCATATATATGGTAATTCTTTAAGGTATTTTTTTCAATTTTTGAGGAATCTCCATGTGGTTTCCTATAACAGCCATACTGCTTTATATTCCTACAAACAATGTAGAAGGGTTTCATTTTCTCCATGTTCTGGTCAACAACTATCCTCTATCTTTTGATAATAACCATTCTAACAGGTATGAGGTAATATCTCATTGTGGTTTTGATTTGCATTTTACTTAGGATTAATAATGTTGAACATGTTTTCATGTACTTTTTGGCCACTTATATGTCTGAATCATGAAGAAATACAAAACCTAAACAGACCAATAACAAGGAAGGAGACTGAATCATTGATTGAAAGACTCCCAGCAAAGAAAACCTCAGGATCTGATTGCTTCATTGGTGAATTCTATCTACCATTTAAGTAAAAATTAACAGAAATCCTTCTCAAACTCTTCCAAAAATTGAAGAGGAAAGAATACTCCAAAACTCATCTTATGAGGCCAGCATCACTCTGATACCAAAACCAGTCAAGGACAGCATAAGAAAAGAAAATTATAGGCCAATATCCCTGATGAACTTAGATGCAAATATATCCAACAAAATGTGTATTATAAAAGTGAATTCAACAATACATTAGGGATCTTACATCATAATCAAGTGGGATTTATCATGGGATGAAAGGATGGTTTGATATCTACAAATCAATTAATGTGACATGCCACATCAATAAAGAAAAAAATCATATAATTGCCATAATAGGTGCAGAAGTTAGCATTTAAAAACATGCAACATTTTTCATGATAAAACCTTTTAGTAAAATTGAGTTATGAGGAATATACCTCAATGTAAGAAATGTCATACATGACAATCCCATAGCTGGCGTCATACTCGGCGGTAAAAAGCTGGAAGCTTTTCCAGATAAAACAAGGCAAGGATGTCCTCTCTTGCCACTTATACTCAACACACTACTGAAAGTACTAGCCAGAAAAATTGTGCAAGAAAAAACTGTTATGTAAATCGGAAAAAGGTATGAAAGTACTTTTGTCAGTAGATAACATGATCTTATATATAGAAAACCCTAAGGAATCCATGAAAAACTGTTGGAACCAATAAATGAATTCAGTAAAATTTCAGAAGAGATACATATACAAAAATTAGTAGCATTTCTATACACTAGCAATAAACTATCTGGAAAAAAATAAGCAAACAACCCAACTTACAAAAGCTTCAAGAAAAAAATTAAATACTTAGCAATAAATTTAGTCAAGGAGGTCAAAGATCATCTCACTGAAAACTATAAAACGTTGGTAAAGAATTAGAAAATATACAAATAATGAAAAGATATTCTATCTTCATGAATTTGAAGAATTAATACTGATAAAATGGCCATACTATGCAAAGCAATCTACAAATTTAATGTGATCCTTATCAAAATTCCAATAGCCAAGGGAAAAACAATCCTAAAATTCACATGGAAGACACATGACCCTGAATGGTCAAAAGCAATCTTGAACAAAGGAACAAATTTGGAGGTAGCATGCTACCTGATTTCAAGATATACTGAAAAGCTTTAGTAATCAAAAGAGTTTGGCATTGGCATAAAAAACAGATACTATACAGAGATCAATGAAACAGAATTACGAACCCAGAAATAAATCCATGCATTTATAGTCAATTGCTCTATGATAAAATTGCCAGAAATATAAAATGAGGAAACTAGTCTCTTTAAACAATTTACAATAGCCAAGCGCTGAAAGCAACCTAGGTGCCCATCAGTAAATAAGTAGATAAAAAAACTATGGTACATTTACACAATGGAATTCTATGAAGCAGAAAGAAAGAAGGAGCTCCTACCCTTTGTGACAGCATGGATGGATCTGGAGAGCATTATGCTGAGTGAAATAAGCCAGGTGGTGAAAGACAAATACCATATGATCTCACCTTTAACAGGAACCTAAACAACAAAATAAACAAACAAGGAAAATATAACCAAAGACACTGAAATAGAGAACAGGCTGACAGTGTCCAGAGGAGAGAGGAGAGGGAATTTCAGGGGAAAAGGGGAAGGATTTACAGGAGCAGGTATAAAGGACACATGGACAAAAACTAGGGGAGTGGAAATGGGAGGGAGGGGCATGGGGAGGGTTGTGGGGGGGTGGGCTGGGATGGGAGTAAAAGACAGAAAACTGTCTTTTAAAAAATGAGCAATTAAAATAAAATTTTAAAAATGGGGTTGGGAAAATTAGATACACATACAGAAGAATAAAATTGGACCTTTCTCTTATGTCACATACAAAACTAACTTAAAAATGGATAAAGACTTAAACATAAGACCCCAAACTTTAAAACTACTAGGCAGGAACATAGGGAAACGTTTTCTTAATATTCACTGGGGCAATGAATTTTGGGGTATAATCCCAAAAGCACAGGCAACAAAATCAAAAACAGAGAAATGAAAGAGTGCCAAATCCTAACCACTAGACAACCAAGGAGCAGTAAATGTGGGAGGTAGGGGTGGGTAGGGCAGGGGAGAGTCATGGGGGGAACTGGGGACAACTGTAATTGAACAACAATTAAAAAATTGAGAATTAAAATTGCATCAGAGCAAACACTTCTGTGCAACAAAGGAAACAATCAACAGAGTTTAAAGACAACCTACAGGGTGGGAGAAAATATTTGCAAACCATATGTCTAATAAGGAGTTAATATCTAATATATTAGGAACTCAAAAAAACTCAGTAGCAAGAAAACAATTAGTTTGATTAAAAATGGGCAAAAAACCTGAATAGACAATTATCAAAGGAAGACAGAAAGATGGTTTGCCTTCTATATGCATGAATTCTGCTGAGTCTTCTCAAAATATGGCTCATTAGTCCTGGTTCTCGTGATGGTTTTTGTATTGGAAGTGTCATGGAGCCTCTCAGAGGAAATGTGTTCCACATCATATTTTCTCCAGATCATGACAAGGACATGTGAACTCATTGTTTAGTCAAGGAATTAGGGAAGACGGGAAGCCAGAAAGGATTCTACTGATGTCTGTGTGAATCTTTGTCATATGTGTATTGTGGTCAAAACATGTATTAATGCCCCAGACTATTCTTTCAGTTGTTAAAAATCCATAGAAAATAAATCATTATCTAAAATTTAGTATTGCATCAATAACATAATAATAGAATATTTAGGTACATGAGAAGCTGGTTTTGAAGTTCATTTGGCAAAAAAAATGCAAGAATGCAAAGGATGTTCTGGGGGAAAAAGAGAGCATGCACATCAGAGGAGGAGGAGAAAGAGAAAGAGGAGAGAGCGAAGAAGGAATTTGACTTACCAAGTACTAAAATTCATTACAAAGTTAAAATTGCTAAAACATGATGCTACTGGACAAAATAAATAAATAAACTGATGAAGTAATGGAATGCATTTTTTAGAGTCTAGCCATAAAGCCAAATATATAAGAGAAAATGACCATGAGGAAAGAGGCGTTTCATATTACAGAAAAGTGAGTCATTCAACAAATGGTGTTAGGAGCACTAGATATACTTTCACAAAAAAGATTTTATGGATTCCTTCCTAAGTTCTTATGTAGGAAAATTAATTCTAGGTTAAATGTATAAGTAAAGAAGGTAAAAGCATAATAGCAGTAAAGATAATATTAGATAATTTAGAAATAAATTTGGTCTTGAGAAGTACTTTCTAAATATAACACAAAATCTACAAGTCATAAAATGTTATTAACATGGCAATACAATAAAAATGTTAAAAATCTGTTTGGCAGGAGACAACAACCACAGATTAAAAATGAACAAAAGACAAAAGTCTTGGGGAAAAAACCCCATCATATTTAACAGTTAATGTGAAAGAAAAAGGCAGCAGAAACAACACGACCGAAAAGACAGCAGAAGAAGAGGTTTAAAAATAAACCATTCATGGAAAAGAAATAAATGGCTTTTTAAGCATATAAAAAGACATTTAATATTGACCTATATTTGGAGGAAGGCAAATTAAAGCTACTTTAAAATTCTAATATGCATGTATCTCATTGTCAATATCAAAAATTTCAATAACACCAGGAAACAGGAAATCTTAGAGGCTATTAAAACTCAGTAATATATATAAAAATTGAAGGTGCATGTTTTTTTCTTAGAAATTCCACTTCTAGGAATTTATCTGGTGTATCCTTTTACACGAGTGACATGATACTGTCACAAAGACACTCATGGTTTTAACATGAGATTCATAACAACATAACTGGCTATGAGTAGGGGATCAGCTAAATAAATTATGTTATATCCACAGAAACAAACACTATGCAGCTATTTAAAATAACAGGGAAATGTATAACTAACTGACATAAAAGACAAACATGGTTACCATATAGAGACAGGGGATAGATAGATATAGATACTCTTGCCCTTTGCTTTCTTGCTATAATATACAATTATTTGGGTAAAGAGAAAAGATGAGAGAAAATCCACAAATATTTGTATATAGAGATTACCTCTGAAACTGCCAACAATGATAACTTTTAGAAACTGAACAAGTGGCTGGAGGTTACAATGAGACAGAAGCCTGTTTTTCCTCTCTACACCCTTTTGGGCACTTTGCATTTGCTGTTACAGGAATGTTCTACTTTTCAGAAAATTTTAATTAATTAATTAATGTTTAAAAGAAAGAAAATAAATTCCAAGGAGATGGGTTTGTGTCTTGCTGCCAAATGCCAGGTAGGAATATGGAGTCAAGTGCATAGACTTTGTGCAAAATTAAACCCATATTTGGAACTCACTTCTTCCTTGAGAAACAGTGATCGGGTAAGAGTTCAGGTAGGTACTTGTTATTGAAACAAGATATTTTTCCTGTGATTTTCTTGTACTCCTCTCACAGCTCGTGTTCTCTTTAGCAGTCTTTATAGATGGCAAGTGGAAGTTCTAATGCCTCTCGGCTGAAGCTGGCTTTATTTGGATAACTTAACCTGCACAGGAGATTTGAGAGCCTGTAGCAATTTTTAAGGCAGGGAATTCCGAACATGAAAGTGTCTCTTTGTAATTGAAAAGCACATGCAAACCCCAAGGGTCAACACAGTTGACTGTCTAAAGTACCCAGCTAGCTAAGGGATTAAAAATGCATCTTTACCAGAGTAGCCTCCTCCCTTAGACTGTGGCATTGCCTTCCCTATTCACTTGGGAGTGTCCAAGGCTCTGATTTTCTAGAGTCACATAAGAGTCTTTCTTCAACTTCATTTTCACTAGAGGAGAAGATGAAATTGAGCATGTACAAATAAACTGCAGGGCCAGATTTGACTTCTGTCTTTTCTCCATTTTCTGGAGACTTAATGCCTTTGAGCATCTGTGAGCTGGCGGCCACAGGTTCTTTCTGACAATGCCATAACCCATAGCACTTTATTGGGAGGCTGTAACATTGCACAGGTTGAAAGTGGAAACTGAATTACAGCAGATTCCAATTCTTCCCTCTGCCTACTGGTGATGTTTAAACTTAATTAAGACCCTAGGAGGATGTAGGGTAGTAGAGCATTCATATATACCATGGTGTCGTCTACCTAATAGGGATACTGTTTTCTGTTCCACATAGTTTGGTATATCCACATGGTGTCCTTTTGGAGGTATATATATATATATATATATATATATATATATATATATATACACACACACATACACTAAGAAGTTTCAATAGGTTGTTCAGCTATGTCTACTACTACACTATTCCCTTCATTCTTTGCCTCTAGGAAAAGAAAAAAAATACATGTCTTGTACTTTTCTCCCCTGAGGAGGAATCAGGACCAGGCATAGACAATAGCCTAAAGTAAGCATATGGCTTTCAGAACCTTTCAGGTCTATTTTTGGACCTTATGTTAAGTACGTTTCCTACGTCTGACTTTCAGACCTATGCACTGAATTTTTTTCCAAGTCTCTTTTTCCTCCTTTTTTCATGGCTCTCAGCAGTGGCAGTGGCTGCCAACTCAAAATGTGTCAATTGGCATAAAAATTATTTTGAGCACTTAAAAAAAAGCAGGTATAAGAAGAATGCTCTGCCTCTCCCTTTTTGTCCTAGAAGCAGGAGAGAAGTCTTCCATGTGAAAAATGGCCTCCCTACACCAGGAAGAAGAAAACATTCTTGTCACCAGAGGTGAGGACCTGAGGCTGAGAATGCTGTACAGAGTATGTTAAAATGCTCTCATCTGTTTTCAGTCTCCCCTTATATTTTAATTACTTTTTTACTACCTCTTTGTCTCTATGTTCAACATAGTATAAAAGCATTTAGGTCTTGCCACTTTTGTGGGTCTTCATGTCCTTATAAGGGTTCCAATAGCACATAAAACTTATATTAAATACAATCTGTGTTTTTCTCCTATCAATCTTTTTTTTATTTTTTAATTACAGTTGACATAGAATGCTATATTAGTTTCAGGTATTCACCATAGTCATTAGCTATTTATACATCTTATGAATTGATCACTCCTATCAGCCTAATACCTAACACCATGTATAGTTATTACAATGTTATTAATGATATTCCCTACACTGTACTTTATATTCCCATAATATTTTAATAACTGGCCATTTGTATTTCTTAATCCCTTTCACCTTTTTCACCTGGCACCCAGCCTCCTTTACAACTGGCAACCATCAGTTTGTTCTCTGTATCTATGAGTTTGTTTCTATCAGTTTAATTCTCAAGCCCAGGAGACCCAAAGAAGGTAGAAGTTCTGCTTCTTCCCCAGCTTCCTCCCCAGTGCCATTAAAATGTAATGACCACATCCCCCATTTCTTCAGTGTCAGATTTTTGTGAAAAAATCATGTACCCTAATGCACAGCTAAAATTCTAATATATGTGCTAATGTTATGCCTTCTTATACAACATATTTGCATTTAAATAGAGTTGTCTGGAGATTTAATGGTTTAACCCAAAGGGATTAGCATGTCTCACATTTGTACAGCACTTGGTAGATTATTTCAAAGAGCTTTAGACAAACAAGATTTCTTATGAATTTCTAAGTCACCCTGAGGCAGAGAGGGTAGACATTTCTCATTTACATGCACACTGCCAATAACTTCAAGCTCAGCCTTGGCGTCACAGAGTAAATAGCAAGATATCCACTGAGGTCTAGGGACTCCTGTTGTTTCACCAGCCTTTCTACCACATCCAACAACTCCAGAAATAGATGTGAGTTGCGTATATGTCTGTTGGAGTTGCCAACCACAGAGTGCATATGCTCAGTGGTGCCATCTCCTTATGGGGCTGGTAGCATTTGAAAGATGAAGCTAAAGATGGCGTGCTGAACCTCTAACCTGCATGGGCATGTAGGGTAGAGAGAAAATATTAAAACTTTTAGTCAAACAATAGATGAAATCACTTGACTGGCTGACAGAATATCACAATAATTTTCTTCAAAGTTTAATAAATAAACTGCACCAGAGTTACCTGGTAATGGGGTTGAAGGTTCTCTTAAAAATGCAAATATATAGGCCATCGCTCCTATTTAGTAAAGCAAAACTAGCATCTGTGATACACAAGAGTTTTTGAAAAGCCTTAAATTATTCCTTCTCCTTGAGTACAGATGCACGTCATCTTTACCCTCAACTTCTCCAATGTTTACCATGATCGCCGGCAGGCTAAATTCTTTGGCATGCCACGCAAAGCTTCCTGCAGTCCTGTCCCAGCCGGTATCCCTTTTCAGTTCCTTGTTACCCTCCTTCACTCTGATCCTGGCATACAGTCTTCAGCTTTATCGCACAGGGAGTTTCCATTACTTTCATTGCCTAATGAGATAAGCATATTTTTTGATCAGCTGAGATTTCCTCCTTCCTCTGAACTTACACCACTTTGTTTTTTTCCTTTTTCTTAAAATCTTATCCATTATTTAAAAATCACACAGTTTAGTGGTATTGAGTACGTTCACATTGTGCAATCATTACCATCATCCATCTCTAGGACTCTGTTCATCCTGGAAAAAAGAAACTCCATATCCATTAAACAACACCCCATTTCCCACCGCTCCCCTCCAGCTCCTGGGGACCACCATTCTACTTCCTGTCTCTACCAGTGTGATCACTCTAGGTACCTCATCTAAGTGGAGTTGTATGCTTTATGGCTTATTCCCCTGAACACAATGTCCTGGAGCTTCATCCATGCATGGGTCAGAATTCCCCTCCTTTTTATAAAAAAAAATTCAGTTACAGTTGACACTCAATATTATATTAGTTTCAGGTTTACAACATAGTAATTAGACATTTATATAATCTATGAAGTGTTTACCTCAGTAAGTCTAGTACTCATCTGACACTATAAATAGTTATTAGTGTTTTTAAAGCAGGTCATTCTTTTTAAATTAATTTTTTAATTTATTGATTTTTATAGAGAGAGGAAGGCAGAGAAAGAGAGAGAGAGATCAGACCTTTGTTTCTGATCATACACCTTTTGAAGCATTTGTTGGTTGATTCACTTTCTACCTAGCATCTGAGTTAGTTTAAGATACCTTTGTTCTTTTATTAAATTATGAACTAAGAAAAAGCTCTGGGTGATACATTTTTTCATTTTCTTGGCTCTTCTACTAATTTTGAGCTAAGGGAAAGCTCTGGGTCTGAAACATCTTTGCATCTTCAAGATCAATTAAGTCAAAGGTTTGCACAGAGAAGATAACCAAGATATGCTGAACATGTGTTTCCAAGCACATTCTTGTCTGTGTAACTATCATCATAGTTTTGTTTACTGAAAGATAAACTGAAGTTGTCAGATTGAATAAAAAGATTATCATGTTCTTTCATCTTATTCATATGTACATATTTACATACAATAAAGATAAACTGACTTAAAGCCTCCATATTTACATACCAATTTTTCTGTTGAAAGGAATAAAACAGGGCTTACTAGAAAAAAATTCTGATTTCACTCATATGTGGCATCTAATGAACAAATTGAACAAAATGAAGACAGACATATAGATAGCAAGCAGGCTGACAGCCCTGAGAGGGTGTGGGGCTGGAGGGAAAAAGAAAACAAGGAAAAGAACTCACAGACTTGGACAACAGTTGGTGATTGTGGGGAGTGAAGGGGGGCAGGTCGAGTTGGATGAGGTTAAAAGAGGAGTAAACGGTAATGGGAAAATGCAATATAAATGAACTATTAAAATAGAAATTAATTGGGATTATTTAAATATAAAATATGTGCATGTGAACCCATTCTAAAAATAGATAAAACTAGTATAAAAATGTTAGATATGTATAAGTTAATGATTCAGGTATGTATGTATGAAAGACTAATGATATTAGTAGCTACATGGTAATGGTAAACATTCGGGCCTTTCAAGCTCTGAATTAATTTATTCAGAAGATGAGACATATGGGACCTTCACTGTCATTACCATGAGGACAGAAGTCCTTAGCTTCTACTATTATCTGCCAGAAGCTAGTTTAATGATGTATAGCAGGCTAAAGAGCAAGTGGCCTTATCGGGAATGAGGGAGCACTAACTACCATATTTTTCAGACTGTAAGACACAGCCAGGTTTTAGAGGAGGAAAATAGAAAAATATTTTGAAGCAAAAAGTGTGGTTACATATTTAATAAGATAAATAACATAATATTTCACCAATGTAAATGTAAACAGAACTCAACAGCAGCATTAACAACTATTATTCCTCCCAAACTTGGGGGGGTATGTCTTAGAGTCCAAAAAATGTGCTATAGTAGATGAGTTGTCTTTTTTCTGACGTGCACACAAATGCACAAATAATATCAACCATGGTTGTTAATTTACAGAAGAACTTCTATTACTCAGTGTCTCAGTATGATAAATCTTATTACCACTCTTGTTCTCATGTACTTTAGCCAACATTAGCTGAGATGTACACAGAAATATTTGTTCTGGGAAAGGTCACCTTATTCTGACTAATGGTGTACTGACATTTTAAAAGTGGTTTAGAGAGTCCACACATCACCAAATAGACTATCAGTTTCAGGAAAGGTAGTTAAGTAAATATAAAGCGTATAATCAAGAATTTGAAAAGGAGGAGGCAGTTTTTTAGAAATCCTTGAATATAATGTAATATGAACATCTGCCTTAGGATATTTCATCTCTCCAATTTCTTTTTAATCCAACATATCATATTGTTTGTTATTTTGAAACCTTTTTTCTCCATTTTCATCAGCTGCCAGTCATGAGGCTAAAAGGAATGTGCTTTTCAAAAGCCCTATTTGATACCATGGTCCTGTTTCCAAGAATAACACCAATGGGGACTTCATAACACCAACCTGAAAAAAAAGAATTACAAAGATTAAAATAAAATTTTGATTACAATGTACATATACAACTCTCTTTTTATAATAGAAAGGTTTTAAAATAAAGTCTAAGAATGAAGTTTCAATCTTCATAATCATACACCTTTTGAAGACCATCTATTTCTCACCTCTTGTTATTTTTCTTTTACTGCTAGGATACTTTAAATCAAATTGTAGAAATTATATTATTTCTTCTATAAATACTTTAATATGTCTAACAAAGAGGAATTTTTAAAGAATATAAACACAGTGCCATTACCATACCTAAAAGAACTAGCAATAATTATTTTTCATCAGCCAAAACCCAGTCCATGTTCAAACCTTCCCAGGTATGTCAAAAATATCTTTTTTTATAGTTGATTTACTTGAATCTAAATCCAAATAAGTCCCACACTCCCATTTGAACGATTTCTTAAATTTCTTTTAATCCATTACACTTTCCCTCTTTCTTCTATCTTTAACTACTTTTCTCAAGTTCATTACTTTTAAATCACGTCATTTGTTCTTAGAATTTCTCACATTATCTTCGACTGATTTATATTTTGCAGAATAATTTAGCATATATGTCTAAACTTACTTTCTGTATGTAATGGTTAAATTTTTAAGCTCGATTAGACCCAGATATTCAGGTTTCATTTCATTGTATTTTATTTAGTAAAAACACATAAGTGGCTATGTGTGATTTTTATTTTATCATATCAGAGACACATAATGTCTTATTTTTCCTACCCTTAGTGATATTAAGACTGATCAAAAGCTTCATCTTTATCCATCATAAAATTGCAATCAATAATTTACCTAGTAGTTTTACCAGCCATTGATGATTGATATTTAGATCAGTTATTGTATAAAGCCTTGAAAAATTGAGGTTTTCCAATTCTTTTATTCCTTATCTATTATTAGATTTATTTTATACATTTCTGATATTATGATCAGTATATAACTCTTACTTTCAAAAATAATATATTTATGATAATTCTAACTTTGTCAGAAAACAAGAGAATGTTATTCAAAATAATGGTAATAATTTTATAGTAGGAAGGAAGGTAGAGACAAGCAGATTTTCAGTTGCTCTTTACTGGAAAATAGCCACAACGGGTACTTGACTCATTTCCATGGAGCACATAACTGTACTGTCCTCAAGAACAGCCACCATCTAGGACACAAGTATGTAAATGTATAATATTAGCAAATAGTATGACAATATAATGATATAATGCAATATGAACATTTAAACACAATTTCTAAAAATCCTGATGAACTTTAATTAGTATAAATTCTCACTGTAATATAATTGCATGAAGACATGTATTTTTGTCTATTCTGTTCAGCAGTAGATTTGCAAGACCTAGAAAGATGCTTCCACATCATAGACTCTAGGTAAATATTTATTGAATCAATATTGAATTAATGAGTGAGACAATTTGAAGAAGTGAGTAGTTAACAGTGACTATATAAAAAAAGGAGAGAATTAGGAGGAAAATCCCCTCTGGCTATTTATGGCATTTGTTCACCACTGTGAGTTAAGAATTCACATTAGTGATGTGTGTGTGCCACCCTATGTAAGGTTTAATGGCTGTAAGTTAATTACTTCCCTTGCTAATAAAGCACAAACACCTTTGCATCAAAGAATCAGTGACCTAGTATTTTTCTCCTGTTAATAGCCTTTAGTCCTATTTATTCAGACAGAAACAATTTCAGATTAAGTGTCCTTCATGCTTAACAAATATTTGTCAAATACATGAGTGAAAAATGTATTAGTTTAGTGAGATTCCTTATAAAATATGTACCAAAGTTCTCTCAATAGCAGAAGAGTGTTTTAAGATTACTTACCTAGAGTCATTATCTTATTATTTTAATGAGTTATACTTATACTAGGATGGGGATAAATATTTTCAAAAGTCCCTTCTGAAATTAAAGAAAATTCACAACACAATCTAAAATAATCTTATGATGCCACATTTTTTAAAGAATAAAAATGTTCTTGATTTATTGATGCTGGTCTGGTGATTCTCCTCCAACAATGACAGCTCTTCCTGTCTTCTTACACACCTTCTCTTCTCATCTCTTCCACATAAGGAGTAATGTTCACTGTGTCTCCTTCAGTGAGTTCATTGACTCTTACAATGTACCAGTTACTTAAATTAGATTAACCACACAGATTCATGCAAGCTATATCACCAGTTTTGACCTTTTTCCTGTGTGTGGTTCTGCATTTTTAGTTGCATAATAACTTAAATATGTTTGAAACCAAGTTCCAAATAGAATTTCAAAAACAGTTCCATTATATCCTATAGAATTTATCATTTTTAAATGATTTAATTTTCTTAGTCTCCCAAGCTTAAAACCATATCACGTTTATCCCCTCAATTCCTTTTGCCGTCTACCTGCAAGTACCCACTAAATCCCACTGGTGACTTCCCTAATCTCTTGAATTGGTCTCTTCTGTTCCATTCCCATTATCCCCTCTCTCATTATCTCTCAGCTGAACTATCATAATTGTCACTTAAATGATTTTCAGATTCTCTCTACTTTAATTTTGTCTCTTACTACAGATTAATCTCCCTAATGCACAACTCTAAATACATCATCTTTATAGTCATAAAACCCATTGGCTCCCCATTACTAAGAGGATTAAATATAAACTATTTTATTTGTCATTCATGACCTTTATCTGCATCTTGCATAACATGTACTAATTTACAGCCAAAGTAGTTATTTCCCAAATAAACTCTATTTTTTTCTGCCTATGTTTCTTTGACTATTCCATCTAGAATGTTCCTTTTCCGCAGCTCTTCTCCCATCCTTGTCCATAAAAATAGTCTCATCCGTCAACGTACTGCACAAATGCCACAGCCTTCTTCCAGGAGACTTCTGACTCAGGTTTTCATCATGTTTTGCAGCCTCTCTCTTTTCTGAATATCTGCATTGTGTTAATGCTTCCCACAGAACAGTTATCTCTTGTTTGCTTATATTGTGAAGTTTTGTATACTTATTGGCTCTCCCCTTTAGGACAGAAACCAACTTAAATCTACTCACATTCTTTGATTCCTCATGAATAAAATATGGCACAGTATTTTGTACACTGTAAAGCTTCCTAAGTATGTGTTCAATTAACTTTAAGAGCTCTTTGCAGTAATTCTGAAGAATTAGCTATACCGCTTCTCTGTTGCCTGAAACAGCCATGTTTCAGCCAGATGTTACCTAGGCATTACTGGTTCAGAGAAGGACATTAGAGTCATAGTGTATGGCAGTGTTGACCACGAAAATTTTAAAGATGGACGCCATGTTTTCTGCTTTCTTTATTCACATCTAATAGAAGCTAATATCATGCTATCGTGTTTTGACTAATACATTCTTCTTACATGAATAATTTATATAAATCCCAATATTTGTATTAAAAATTCTTTCCATTATAACAAAGAATTCATTATTTTAAAATCAGCTTGTCAAAGGCTTAAATACCCACAACTGTTTTTTAATACTCTAACAAGAAACAATGAAAATCACAACAAATTTCAGCATCTAAATTTTTATAAACAACTTCTGGGGGGTAAGTGTGCAGAAACCCACATCTCTGACATTTCCTGTCCACAATTTCTTTGTCTTTGCGTTATCCTGCTGCATGTGAGGTGTCTGGTTCATGACAACAGTCCAAGGATGCTGCCCGACCTTTCAGATAAGACTGATCTGCATTCTGTCTACTGTGTTTCATAAAGCAAATGAGTACTTTAGGCATTTTAGATTTTGGAAAACAGAAATTGAACTAACAGTATTTTTAATAGAAGAGTTTAAGAGATAACACATATTACTGTCTTTTTTAATTCAAGTTACAGACTTACTAAATACTTTAAACTATAAAAATTTCAATTTCAGAGCTCTTTGCCATTCCTGATTCCATGCTATGAAGTTGGGGTAGTAGAAAACCATAAAAAATTGAAAATCTCTACAGTTGTACACTGTCACTAAGTGAAGAAAAGTTATTGGATAAAGCATCTCAGTTACCTGTGATGGCTGCAGGACTGGATAGTTTCTACGAAACTCCTGATGTACTGGAAAATGACATCCGCCTACTACGGAGCTGTGGTAGGTAAAACTGCAGGTCTGTGGTGCAAAGTAGAGCTCTCTCTGCCCCTATGGATATCTTGGAAAAGAAGGGATAATTGGGTTAAATAAACATTAATGAATATAACATAGAAGAATAAAGCAGGAACAATTCTACTCTACTCTTGTCTCAAAAATATTCTGTTTCCTTTTTGGCTTCACCCCTAAATAGTTGAATGTACATTGGCAAACCTTTTTTTTTTTAATTTAATTATTTTTCAAGTACAGTTTTCTGTCTTTTACTCCTCAGCCCACCCCTCAGTGCTCCCCACCTCCCTCCCATTTACACCCCCTTAGTTGTTGTCTGTGTCCTTTATACTAGTTCCTGTAAATCCTTCCCCTTTTCCCCTGAAATTCCCTCCCCTCTCCCCTCTAGTCACCGTCACCCTGTTCTCTATTTCAGTGTTATTATTTTTATTTTGCTTGCTTGTTTGTTTTGTTGTTTAGTTTTCTATTAAAGGTGAGACCCTATGGTATTTGTCTTGTAATGCCTGACTTATTTCACTCAGCATAATGCTTTCTAGTTCCACCCAAGCTGTTGCAAAGGGTAGGAGCTCCTTCTTTCTTTCTGCTGCATAGAATTCCATTGTGTATATGTACCATATTTTTTTGATCCATTCATTTACTGACAGGCACCTAGGTTGCTTTCAGCTCTTGGCTATTGTAAATTGTGCTGCTATGAACATTGAGGTGCATAGGTTCTTTTGGATTGGTGTTTTATGGTTCTTAGGACAGGTCTTAGCACCTGTCAAAAGGCAGGTCGATTTTTATTTTTCTGAGAAAATTCCATACTGTTTTCCATAGTGGTTGTACCAGTCTGGATTCCCACCAACTTTTAACTTCTATGGGCCTCAATTTCTTCTCATGCAGAACAAGGAAGGCGAACTAGCACAATCATTATTAGCCCTTCCTGCTTTCTTTCTGTTAGGGAGAAATAGATAGTAAACTTTATTAGAAGTATAATTTCAGATAATGATAAGTGCTACGTAGAAAATAAAGCTAAAAGAGTGACTAGGAGTGAGGAATGACATCTAAGCTGAAACTAGACATGAAAATGGAGGGGAGAGTGAGCTACACAGAGAGAATGGAAAATGCAAAAGCCTAAAGGCAGGAAAAAAGCCATTGTAAGTGCTGGGAGAGTGATGAGAAATGACATTAGGAAGCTGAGTCTATCGTGAAGAGTTTGGGTTTTAGTTTCAGTCCATCGATAAAGGGAAGCCATGATGCGTTTGATGCTAACAAGTGAAATGATCTGATTTAAGACAGCTGCCCATGGTGCTATGGGGAACAGACTATAGGGAAGCAAGGACAGAAGCAGGAAAGGCAGAAGGGCTAGGGCGGTGATATGGAAAAGGGCTTCAGCCACAAGGCAATGGTGAGAAACAATCAGACTTAAAAATAGATTTAGGAGAGAAAAAACATGACTCAATAGATTGGAGATGGAGTGTGAAGGATAAAAGAGGGCTAAAAATGCCTAGTTATCCATTTGATCAAATACATAGTCTTATCTATAGATTTAGCTTATAATGTATGGACTTGACTGTTGGTAATTTAAAACAATTCAGCTGGACAAGTGGCTTGATTTTAGCATAAACATCAAGGTTGCAAATTGAGATTCAGGAGACCTCAGCTTATAGATGGCACTTAAAACCATGAGCCTGGATAAAATCTCAAGTGCTCTCACATTCACCTTTTTATTATCTAGCTGCCGAAAATTGGATCAGGTACATTGAGTAATTCTTATTAAATTACTTGCCATGGCATTTTGAAGTTCTTTGTGCTGATTTAATGAAGTGCTACAGATGGGGAGAGAAGCCATGAAATGGGGTACTGAAAATACATAGTGTTAGTTGTAGCTTAATTTAAGGCTTTGTTACTATACTTTCTAACCATGAAGTATTTTCCAGGCATGTCCCCCAATGTTGTTCTTTGTCAGACTGAAAAGGAAGACACAAGTTTTATCATCTAAATTTACTCCGATTGTGTCCCATTACCATTTATTTTCTGAACTATCCAGAGCCGATTGATTTCCAATTAAGAGCAAAGTTTCCTTTTATTTTAAAACTATTTAATTAATTGTTTTAATTCCAAGCCTAACAGAGGTGCAGGAAAAGCTTCATTTAAAGTTTATTCTTAACAGAAAAAAAAATCGTAGAAAGTAGAAACATAAGCTTTTGTTGTTAACAATAAGTTCTTTCTCTTTTATAATAGAATGTCGTGTTTCATTTTTATTTCTTCTTTTTCATTGGAATTTTTAGATAAACACAAGTCTGCTTTATGTAAACAATAGGAAAGACAAAAGTCTTATTTCTTTAATAGAAAAAAGTTCTTATTAATCAATCAATCAATCAATCAATAATGTGTGTCTCAAACAAAAAAGGGTAGGCCAAAGGATAGAATCAGGAAGTTCACATAATAAGATACATAGATTTAATTTGTATATGCTGTATTTTTAATTTTTCAAATGTTTCTTATTTTAGAATAATCAATTCTAATTTTGAGAAATGTGCCACATAATTCTGTACACTACTGGTCTTTCATTCTGTTTGTTTAGCTACCTAAACTGTTTTTCTGAGTCTGCTTTGATCTCTTAATTGAACTCTAGTTTTAATCCTTATCACCAAAACCCCTTCATATCTAAGCAGAAGAAAAGTGGGGACATGGAGGTAAGAAACATTACTGCCCCTCATTATCGACCACCAATTCTGAATCCTATGTCTCCTTCGACCTTTTGAATATGTTTTCTAAATCTTCTTTTACATAACTCTTATTTTTTCAGTTCTTAATTGATTTAGTTTTTGAATTTTTTTCTGTATTTATTCTTTCAGGTCCTTCTGCATCTCTCTACATAGTAAAAAGGTATAAACTGTTCCTGAAATTACCTAAAGGTAACACATAATTAAGATTACCACTGAACATTAGTTATTTTGAAAACATGCCTTAAAAAAATAGATTAGAAGAGTTTTAGAGAGATTATACCAAGGAAAGAACTCTAAAAATGTCATTTTAGAAATGAAAACTGAGAGTTGAATCTATATAGATGTTGCTGCCAGCAAGTAACAGGAAAATTGCTCTTAGAATAAAAACATGTCTTTGAAGAATCCCTTAAATTGCTCTTAAATACCCAGAAGATAAGCTTTGGAACTCAGGAGCTAAGAACTAAATTATGTTTTCCTCCAAAAGAAAAGCTTGATCAGAGTGAGTCTGTCAATCAGACTAATGTCTAGTTTGGAGAGGAAGCTGAGGCAGTTTCCTGGTGGAGGGCAAGGATTTAATGAAACAATTTCTTCTTCTCTTCACAAAGGCACTCACTTGAATGTTTTTTTTTATCTTTTTTAGTTAAATTCTCCTTTGATTTACTTCTCCTCTTAGCTTTTATATCATCAGATCCAGCTTTGACAATTTCCAACTTTTTACCTGTTTGGTGACTAATATATGTTATTATTGATGTACTAATAGGATTCAACACTCTAGAACAGAGAGAGCAGCTAGTGCATATGGTGATGACAAAAGGCTTTACCAACAGCAGCTGCAAGATCAGGTCCAAGGATGGTCCTCCTGTGAACAGTAACAGGAAGATATGTTGAACCACATATTCTTTCACACCAAAGTAACCAACATCTAACACAGCTGATCCACTGTTACCTGGCACCTCACTTGCAGACCTGGAGAGGCTCTGACTGAGTCATAATCCTGAACTGGACACCTCACTGTGCAGTTGAGGCAGCTGGACACCACCATCCTTGGGTGGACACTATATCTTTGAAGCAGAAGCCACCTTCCCATCAACCCAGCATTTACTTACTTGACGGATCCAGACATTGGCAGCTAGTCTGAAATTCTTGAAGATGCGGTTTTCCTAAAAGGAGAAAGGGACAGTTTGGCTTTAACAGAGCTATTCATCATGTCTCTTCCTCTGAAACTCAGAGTGCAGATGCAGTGCTGCGTGGGTTCCCTGCTTGACAGCAAACATTTGTTCCAGGAAACTCTCAGTCTTTTGTCCCTTTGTCTTCCTCCCACCCCCTTTTTATTTTCAGGGTCAAAGAAAATGAGTTAGCACTTTCTTTGTGAAATATAGTTTTAAGAGGCATAGCTTGATATAACAAACAAAAGAAGCAAAAGCAGTAGTTTCTTTTAGTTTAAAAAGAAATTATTTTTAAAGAAACGGTATCAAATTAAATCTCTACCATCTGACTCTCAGATAATAACCCATCAGGAAAACAGCTTTACCAAAAAAAAAAAAGATTGTTGATCAAGTATGTAGGCTGAAAAACCTTGGGTAAAACACAAAATGTATCCATTTGATACAAAAGAGAAATAGCCATTAACTTGAACTACTTTCTTAAATCAGAAGAACCAATTCTCCCATCAAAGTGCATTCTACTACAAAAACAGAAAAGTGGATTTTTTGGAAATATTTGATAAATTAAAGAGACAAATCTGATTTCAACCAAGGCAAGAAATGTTTTATTATAACTTTGTGTATATCCATTATGTACATTCCCAACATTTACATACTTAAAAATATACTTATTTGAAATTTACCCCAGGTTTACACACACACCAGCACATAAAAACGTAGACAACTTACATACTCAGATTGTAAAACATCATTTGAAAATAAAATTTAAAACTCTGAATTTTCAGAGAATCAATAATAGTAAGGGATTAAATCTTTCCATCAGTAAAATCTACAAGATCTCATTTGATGCTCAGCTTTTAGAGTTTTGACAGTTGAACTGTTCCTTTGCCCACCTAAGCCATTTCAGTTACAGTGGCTATCCCCAAATTTAATGGCTTAAAATAATAATACTCATTTATCTCACAATTTCTGCGGGTGAGGATTTCAGAAGAGGAGAGGCTGTGTGGTTCTGAGTCAAAGTGTCTCCTAAAGTTGCAGTCAGATGGCTGTGGCTTGGTCATCTCCCAGGTTTCTGTAAGTGCATACCATGCATCTGATCTGGGAGACTCCAACAGGTGGGTACAGAAACAGCTAGGCTCCTAGGCATCTGTCTGTATATTCTGTCCACATGATCCCTTCAGCATGGCTGCTTCAGGGCAGGCAGATCTCTTACACACTCACTCAGGACTCCCAAGGTGTGTGTTCAGAGAAGGAGGGAGCCATACAGAATCTGCTTCAGCTTTTATGGCCTTGCCTTTTATCACCTTTGGTGATAGGGTCAGCTAAAAATTTCTTCTGAGGTTCAAGGGAAAAGGAACATAGATGTCACTACTTAATAGAGGAGGTTCAATATCATATTGTAAGAAGGTAGCATGGCTGACATACTGATGAGTTCAACCTCAATATGCTCTGCTGAACCAATGAAAGTCCGACGGACCCTCACTCAGATCTTTTCCTGTACAACGACGTGTAAGATAATAAGATAAGAGATATGGGCTCACATGACAGTTTTCCATATTTAATTGTACCCTTCCCATTTATATCTTGAGCTCTTATGTTCCCTAATTTTTTTTTGGTTCAACAGATACCTATCGGATGCCTCACTGCAGTAAGCAGTATTCAAGGTGGTGAGAGGAAGTTGTAGGCACAAAGACAGCGCTGGTCCTCACTGAACACATTGCGTATGTACACACTCAAACTGTATTTTAATAGTTTGTGTGCAAGACAAGTCTTCAACATAAACAGCACGTTCCAATTTTAAAGTAGGAACTCATAAAAAGTTAAGCATTATATGACTCTAATAAGAAAGAAAACTGGACAGCACCATTTGAGTTCAAAGACAGGTAACAGAAGATAGACTGATTTTCTTTGTGATTTAGAAATTTTGAAATAATCCAAACATGTTCTAAAGAGAACAAAGAGAAGTTTTTGGACCACAGCATCAACATTCTAAAAGACCCTTAGGTCAGTTCTCTAAAGGCAACTTATTGGAAACAGCATACTCATTGAATTATGTGAATGTAAACCTCACCTAAGTGTTTTGGTGTATAACCTGTAGGTTTGTGTGTGTGTGTGTGTGTGTGTGTGTGTGTGTGTGTGTGTGTGTGTGTAAGTTTGCCCATTACCCTAGATCATTTTTTGAGGTCAGAACAGCAAGAACACTGCCAGAAGATGGTATTTATTGCATAAAAATAAGGTAAAATTATATGACACAACCTCAGCTAATTATTATAAAAAATAGTTTTCAAAAAATCTGAGGACAAAGTCATCTTTTTGGTTTTACATTCTGGTGTATAATCTTAACAAAACAAGTCATAAAATCTCAGTGTTTATAGGAGCTTTAAAAATTACCTAGTTCCCAGCCTTCTCCCATGTTTTGATTCACTCCACAGACTGTCTCACAAAGTCATCCAGTTTCTCCTTAAATCCAGTGAAAGGGCAGCAAAGCATGGCTGCCTGTGTCTGGCAGCATGAAATACATATTTCATTTTTGGTGTCTTTGCAAATACACCAGTTTTCTTTATTTGTAAATTATGTATTGAAAAATCTGCCTATTCACAAAAAAGTATGTGACCCCTCAAATTAGTACTTATAGCATTTCCACAGTCTTTTATGGACATGAGTAAAGTGGCAAAAAATTGAATTTCAGGATGTGCACATTCCCAGCCGAGGGACAAGGTGACACTCCATCTTCTTGTTTCAAATTTTATACTGTACACATGTCCTCTGGGGCATCTGTTTAGTGCCATGCTATTGGCATTTTTGTGTTTTTTGTGGGTGGTGGTGGCAGCGGCGATTTTGTTTGAGATAGCTCCAAGCTTAATGCCAAAGGGCTGTCTGGTGTTCGTGAGTGCAGGAACGCTGAGCTGGACCTTATGGAAGAAAATACATTGGGTAATACTTGTTTAGGCATGAGTTGTAGACCTGTTGGACATGAATTTAGTGTTAATGAATCAATAATATATATTAAATTATATATCTTTAAATAGAAATACACACAAAACAGAGTTATATATTAATCAGTTAACAAAAAGGCATTAATAGGGCCTTGCAGGAACCTAACCCTATCTTCCTCATAGGAGGAAAAAGTCAATATTCACTAATTCTGTCTTTGTGGCAACATCATAGAACATAATGCCTATGAATAATAAGAACTGACTGCACAAACAAGCATGCTACAAACACCCAGTATGAGTGAGAATTGAGCTTTCCTTTCAATTGTGTATGTTGTATTCTCAAATGACAATTTTGAACCTTTGATTCTCACTATAGAGAAAATGTATTTTATGGTGTCACTTCTAATGTGGTCTGAGAAAATGTTAAATAATTACAAATCAGCCCTGGCTGGTGTGGCTCAGTGGATGGAGTGCCGGCTTGTGAACCAAAGGGTTGCTGGTTTGATTACCAATCAGGGCACATGCCTGGGTTGTGGGCCAAGTCCCCAGTAGAGAGCATGTGAGAGGTAACCACACATTGATGTTTATCTCCTCTTTCTCTCTCCCTTCCCTTCTCTAAAAAGAAATAAGTAAAATCCAAAGAAGAAAGAAAGAAAGAAAGAAAGAAAGAAAGAAAGAAAGAAAGAAAGAAAAGAAAAGAAAAGAAAAGAAAAGAAAAGAAAAGAAAAGAAAAGAAAAGAAAAGAAAAGAAAAGAAAAGAAAAGAAAGAAGGAAGGAAGGAAGGAAGGAAGGAAGGAAGGAAGGAAGGAAGGAAGGAAGGAAGAGAAAGAAAGACACCTGTCTTTTCCCCCTTTTGTAAATAAAATCTCTCCAGGAGCCGTACAACTGTAAATCTCAACTTTTAAGACCCAACTACCTAGAGAGGTCTCTAACTTCGAGAGCTCCTTCCCATTTTGACATGTAAACCCCTACTGAGGTAGCCCTCCAATCTTCCAGGTACATTGGGGCTTAACCTAGTGACCTGGTGAAGGCTCTAACCAGGTGGTCTTGAAACACAAAACAAATCTGAGAAATTAATTTGGCAAATGACTACAGAACTAATTTTTATATGTGAAGATGCTTTTACATTCTAAGAGAATAGAAAACAAACACTCCCTAACTTTATAGCATTTAAGTTTCTGTGGCTCAGGAGGCTAGAGCAGGAGCATTGAGAAATTCAGGGAGGCTAGCTGTATTTGTCCCCAATTACTATGGTCTAGCCTTGCCTGAACAGTAAAAGAGGTAGAAGTCAGAAGAATTTGACAAAGGAGAGTCTACTTAAATGAAAATGAAACAGAAAACTGAAAAGGTAGCCTGCATATATGTTTTTGGGGACTGAGAGCACTTGGCCAAGGGTTTGACTTTGTATTCATTCAAATCCGTCACAACAGTTTTGGAGGCCTTGTTATCCAAAGGTGTCTACATTTTCTAACACATGCCCAATACATTCTAGTGTGAGGAGGGCTCAAAGCAGTAGTGAGCCTGTAGTGAGGAAAAGAAATTTCCTTGGAATAAATTTTAAAAAAATGACATAGTCTCTAGAAGAGGCTGTGGATTCTGACCCCTTGAAGTCTGACACAATCATAGCAACGTAACTTAAAGTAACTGACCACCTGGACCTCGCAGGGTATGCCCTAGAGGGACAGACATGTCCCCAGGCTTGGCTTCTACTGTCACCGTCACTGCAGTCTCCTCTAGTGATGACCTCTAGCAGTTGTCATTCAGAGTGACTGTAAATCGGACTTGATATCTAAAAGACCAAGAGAAATTTTAAATTTTTCCCTTAAAAGACTAAAGTAAGGTTTTGTAAAAGTAAAGTAAGGTTTAAACTGAGGTTATGCTATTACTTTATTAAGTGAAATTGAATGGAGGTTGAAATATCAGCTGTAAAATCTTTAAAAATGTAAATCCTAATCCAGCTTTAAAGGGGGAGTCTGAGATTCTCTTGAGAAAACAGTTTTATGAATGCAAATCTTTTGTGCTCAGTGTGCCAAAGATTCCTCCTGCTAGAAACATGAAGCC